CTAGAATGCCTCTTGTGATTGTGTTGTAGCGTATCTGAAACACAAGGCAGCTTTGTTGACATCACTGATGATGCTTGTCAACAGAGATTGGTCAACGCTGCCAGACTTTTTGGTTAGTCATTTCAAGTATCCATGTCCATTGCAACTGCTCTGGAACTCATAGGAAGATCCCAGTTTTTACAAACTCATGGAAGAACCACCTGGGTAAGATGGAGTTTATTATAGGGTTTCCCAACAAGTTAATACGTGAAGAGTTTTAATATTTGAACAAAAGTTTACCTTTATGTTTTGTCAAAGAAGAAAAGTGGAAGATGGTTTGCTGGCAATAGTTCCCTAATGCTCTTAGAACAGAGGAAGGTTTAACTGTCTTTTTTAATCTTTAATAAAATGCTAACGACACAAGAGTTAATCAGTTTAAAGTTAATTGCGTTCAGAGTTCAAAAAATCCTAACTAGAACCCATAGAAACTGCTAAGACACTTCACTTATTAAAACAGCTAGAATACTTGGACAGTCAGCCAGCTGTGAATTGCTTACTTTGGCGCAGTGGTGTTTTATAGTTTTTATGTGTTATTTTTGCATCTATGCATTTATTAAATATGTTTTTGTAGAATGTTTAGAGCAGTGCCCAGCACTGGTTAATAAATGTTGGCCCTTTAGTTATGTGTAGTGTGAAGCATGAGCATTGCATGCATGGCTGTTAGTGTTTTTAAAAAGAGAATTTCTTATCTATGTTCTATGATTTTCTCCCCTCTAATGCTTAAAGCTTTTCTGAAAATGGTTCCTAGTTTTGGCCTGAACACTTTTCATCTTAGTCAAGGTTTAATTGAGAGAACTACCATTATTTAGTGTCAAAGTTGTTTGGAGGGTAGTTGATTTTATTAATTGATTCATTGGAGATTATATTCATGATCTTTAAGCTCTTGTGCTTTGATGGAAATAATAGCTTTTTCCTTCTTTGATCTCATGAATCTAGTCTACTAGACTGTTAAAAAAAATTGAAAGGCTTTTTTTTTTCCCTTTGAGGCATAAGGGATAACTTAAACATTAATGATTCCTAATTGTCTTGGGCTATACTATCAATTTATTTTATTTAGAACTAATTTTTTTTTGATTTTCGGAAGTGCTGGTTTGGTATATGAGACTTTTCATTTTTAAATTGATTTCTAATCTTAGTATACATTAATAATGAAGAATGTCTATGTGATATAAATTCTTTGGAATGTATTGATATTTCCTTTGTGTCCTAAAGCAGGTGTTGAAAAACTTTTTTTTTGCCACATAGTTAATATTTTAGCCTTTTCAGGCAAGAGGCAAAATTGAGATTATTGTGTAGATGTTAATAAAATCATTTAAATGTAACCATTTAAAAATGTAGAAACCATTGTTAGCTCATGGATTGTAATAAAAATAGGCAATTGACTGGATTTGTCCTGTGGACTATAGTTTGTTAACAGCTGGCTTAGAGCATGGCCAGTTTTTGTGACTGTTCTGTTTGTTTGAAGGTTATATATTCTCTGTATTTTAGGTAGCAGTTTATCTATTATATTAATCTTATGGTATCTTTAGGATATTCTATTAGGTATATAAATCTCTATGATTGGCAAATCTTGGATTTTCCCTGTTATGACTAATTAAAGCCTTTCTTTATCCTCATTAATACTTTTCATCTTTAATTATACCTTAATTACAACCTCTTGTGTTATAGTAACATTGCTATGTCAGGTTTATTTTCCTTGTGATTGTTGAGATTTATCTGGTGTTTCTCTCTTTTTGTTTGCTTTTAATTGTTTCATTAGTCAGGTCTTGTATTAGTTTTCTAGGGCTGCCATCACAAAGTACCACAAACTGGGTAGCAAATGACAACAGAAGTTTACTCTCTTGAAATTCTAGAGGCTAGACATCTGAAATCAAGGTGTCATCAGGGCCATTTGTTCTCTGAAGGTTCTAAGAGAGGAACCATCCTTCCCTCTCTAGCTTCTGGGGTTACTGGCAGTCCTGGGCATTCCTTGGTTTGTAGATGGATCGCTCCATTCTGCTCCCACCTTCACATGACCCGAGTGTCCAAATTTCTGTCTTCTTATAAGGACACCAGTCATGTTAGATTTAGGTCCACCCTAACCCAGTGTGACCTCAACCAGATTACATCTGCAAAGACCCTATTTCCAAATGAAGTCATAGTCACACGTTCCAGGTTAGCATGAATTTCTAGGGGGACACTATTTAACTTAGTACAGTTCTATTGAGGTATAAAATACATTTAGTAAAATTCAGCTTTTTGTCGTATAGTTTTGTGAGCTTTGACAGATGCATGAGGTTGTGCAGCTATTATGATTGCATCCCAAAATTTCTTCTTTTTCTCCTTGAAAATCAATCCCTGTATCTGCTGTTGGCACCTGGCAACCACAACATCTGTTTTATTATGTCTCTGTAGTTTTGCCTTTTCAAGACTGTCACATACGTGGAATCCCATATTATTTCATCTTTGAAGTCTAGCTTTTTTCACTTACTGTAAAGCATTTCAAATTCATTCCTGCTATTTATTACATGTATCAGTAGTTGCTGTTTATTACTGAGTAGTACTACACTGTATGCATATACCACAGTCTGTTTATCCATTTACCAATTGAAGGATATTTGTGTCTATTTCCAGTTGTTGGCAATTATGAATAAAGCCACTGTAAACATCAATGCACACATTTTCATGTGAGCATGTTTTCATTTCTCTTGGGTAAATACCTGGGGATGAAATTACTGGTTGTATGGTATTTTCTTTTTAAGAAATTGCTGACTATTTTCCAAAGTGGTTATCTGGTTTTGTATTCCCACCAGCAGTTAATGAAAGTTCCAATTGTTCTGCATCCTTGTCTGAATTTGGTACTGTCAGTATTTTTCAAATGCCCTTCCCATAGGTGTATGTCACTGTGGTTTTAATTTGCATTTGCCTAGTGACTAATGACATTGAGCATCTTTTCATACGCTTATTTGCATTTGTATATCTTCTTTGGTCAAGTGTCTGTTCTTTTGCCTATTAACAAAAATATGTTTTATTATTGATTTTTCATAGTTCTTTATATTCAAGTCCTTTATCAGGTATGTAAATGATGAGACAAATGATTATTGAAAAAATGGAATTAGCTTTTTGGGCAACTATTTACAATTGTGAGTTAATGAAGTCAGTTAAAAACCCTAGGCTTTCACATTATCATTATTTTTGTTGTTGTTATTGTTAAAAACTAGCCAATTTATAAATGCTCTCTAGGAGTTAGGCACCACGCTCAGTATTTTATCTGAATTGTTGCAAAATATTTTCTCCTAATCCATGGCATCTCTTTTCATTCTGTTAATAGTTTTTTAAAAAACAGAATTTTTACTCTTGAAGTCAAATTTATTTTTTTTTAATGAATCATGTTTTTGGTGTTATGTCTAAGAAATCCTTGCTCAACCCAAAGTCACAAAGATTTTCTCTGTTTATTTGGAGAATTTTGATAGTTTTAAGTTTAACATTTAGGTCTACCGTCTGTTTTGAGCATTTTTGTACATGGTGTGAAGTATGGGCAAAGTTAATTTTATTGCATATGGATATTCTAGGACCATTTGTTGAAAAGTCTATCCTTTCTCTATTGAATTATCTTTGTACTTTTTTCAAAAATGCCTTTGAACATATATGCTTCATTCTCTCTCAGGTCAAATATTTAGTGTCCATATGGCATCACCAATAAAAATGTAATTTATCTCTGCTAGAAATTTGACAAATGCTTATATTTCACTGTCAATCACTATTACCTTTTCATCTTTTAAAAATACTCATTTCTAGATGCCATCCCTAGAGATTCTGATTTCGTAGGCATACAGTACTGTAAATAAAGAAGAAAATGGTCTACATACTTATGTCTCCTATTTTAGCACTCTTGTTTCAATGCAGGACATGTCCATGGTCTGGGAGATTTCCTTCAGGACAGCTAGGTCTGAGGAAGGTTGCTATGTTAGTGCTTCTGGAGGGTTATTGATTCACTGCGTGTCCCAGGGCAGCTAGGCCTGAACGAATAAGATATTGGACCACAGTTGTACTTCCTTGGTCAGGGACTCAGTCAGCATTATCCCAGGCATATTCTTTACTGGTTCATCTTTCCTGAGATTTTTTGTGAATTGTTGAACATGCCATTTTTTGCTGGTTATTTCTAAACCATTTCAGCAATGGGTGGGACTTAATACTATCCTGTCATTTTATTTTGGTTGGGTTTAAAGGCAAAAAAATTAATTTTTTCAACTTTTTTTAATCGAGGTATGGCATACATCCAGTAAAGTGCTTAATTAAGATGTAAAGCTTACTTGTGTAAAGCTTGTACTTTTCATTTGTATGTATCCATGTAACTGCCATATAGACAAGACATAGAATATTTCCAGTATCCTAATATGTTCCCTGATGCTTCTTCCTATCAGTAGCCCCTTTCCCCTGAATCAACCACTGTTCTGATTTTTAGCATCATAAGTTAGTTTTGCCTGTTCTCAAACTTTATATAAATAGTCATTCACTATATATACGCATATGTTTGGTATTTTTAATCAAATAATTTTTGTCATCAGGCTTTTTTGAGCTATTTAATATTATTGTTTCTGACTCCTTTATACTCAAAACACCGCATCTAACAGCAGATTTACTTTGACTTTTAATTTTGCATTTTTCATAGGGGAAATAATCTTACAATTCTTCAGGAAACCTCCCGTATTCCTTTTCTCACTCTAAAACTTTCAGTGGCTTTCTGCGTCATCCATTTATATGGTATACGTTAACTTATTTCCACAAAGTATTCTTTCCTATGTTCTCTGGTTTCCTTTTCCACTTTGCTTCTACCAGTGCATAGAGATGAAAAGGAGATTTCTAAAATCTTATTTCCTGTTTGATTTTTGCCACTCTAGCATTTGGTCTGGAGTGAATTCAGGTTGAACTGCATATGCAGTTAGTTGTATTAATCTTGTGTTTTCCTTTTCTTCTGACAGCATGATGGAAGTGGTTCATTGCATGATGTTCAACTCTCATTGCCATCCAGTCCGGAACCAGAAGATGGTGATCAAATATACAAGGTATGATGACTAGGGAGTCATGCTGAAGTTTTCAAAAAAAATTTTTATTAGTAAAATTATAAAGCAATAGCAAGGAAAACATTTAATAATAAATGTATTAAAACCTGCAGTTTTGCTCTCAGGTTTTAATCAGATTTGCTTTAACTTTTACCACTTTATTAAGTTAAAGTGATATCCCTGTGGTACGTTGATTTGAATTTGTTGTATCAGTTGAATAATCATCTGTCCTTGTATTAGTAATGGTGCAGGATTCTTTTTAAAAAATCATTGTATCATTAAATTCTTTTTTCATAATTATGAATAACAGTTTTTAAAATATGACCACCAATAAAAATTAAAGTGGTTAGTATGTACTTCTCACATACAATCACTACATTGAAGAAATATACTAAAAATGAAATTAATTTGTTTACTCTTTTCATGTTTAAAGATATAATTATAGAATGCAGATGCATTTTCGTGTTTGAAGGTGGTTTTTGTTGTTTTTTAATATATAGTTCTCATCTTTTGGTCTAGTTTTAGTTAAAGCTCTTTTTGTTTTTTGCAGCTGCCTGAATCACATATTTATTTCTTATGCACGTACAAGTATTCTTGATGTCTTTCATATTTTCAAGTAAAATTATTGTTTCCTTTCACATTCTGTTTTCAAGGTATGTTAGTCAGTGTGTGCTATTCATCTCTAGTAACTGGTGACTTACAACAACAAAAGTTTATTTTTCACTTGTTGTTTCTCAGTATGTTGCATATTGGTTATAGATCAGTGGGACTTCACGTGTCCTTCATTCTGGAATCCAGGCTGAAGGATCAGCCCTTATCCTGGGACGTGTTATTTTTTGTACCTGAATAGCATTGGCAGAATAACGTGGATTCTGCTTGGATGTAACGTATGTCGCTTCCAAAACAGGTCATGTGGCCAAGCTTGGTATTAGGGGGTCACAGAAGCATAATTTTCTTATAGGATGTAGAGTGACTTACTGGGAACAGAATTATGTGTAAAACATAAAATCAAAAGAATGTAGGATAGTAGTCATGTCTGGTTATCTAATCTTAGCTTTTCAGCATGTTACCTACCTGTCCTTGTGCAAATTTCTTCCCATCTCTGGACTTCCATCCTATTGTGAGTTTAATAATTGGTCTGCAGCAGGACATCTCTTTTTAAAAAGAACTTTTAGATGTATACCCAATTGAGAACCATTGACTTAGAAGACTTCTGATTATCTCTCAAAGTATTTTTAAGTTTTGTGACTGATATTTTAAAAGTAAAGTTGACTTTTTTCCTGAATTTCTTTGGAAAAGTTTCTCACATGTAAAGAAAAAATTTTTTAAAGAAAAGTTAACTCTTAACTTTTTTTTTACAGAACTACAGTGTTTTCATTTTTTCCATGTTCCTTTATAGTTTACCTATAAATTTAATGTTACATGATGGCCTTATTGTTACACATTATTTGTTTCTTGTCCCTACTGGCTTTCCTCCCAGGCAGATTATTTCTAGTCTTTCTTCCTTCTTTCCTCAGTGAGATGTAATAGCTCATACTGTCTCTCTCTGGTACTCTAGCCTGTCCTTCACTTTCATCAGCAAATCCTTCTCATGCAAGATGGTTTCGCAGTTCAGTTCAAATGATACAAATATGGTGACTTACGCCATTACAAACTTAGGGTCTGAAATCTCCACTGGACCTGCACGTCTCCATTGTGTCCTTTACATCAGGACAGCTCCCTCTCCCATTCCCCTCGTGAGCTGTTTCAGACATTGACCACTCTCCTCAAACACCTTTGTCATCCACTCTTCTGCTGCCTGCCTTCCTGCTTTCTGACTTATCTGTATCTATGTCACTCTCATCCACTTTGTTCCAGTCACAGGGGAAGAGTGGCCACTGTTCTGTGGATGACCACCTTTTCTTCTCGTGTTCTCAGCTCTATTTTCTGCTGCTGTTAAAGACCTAACTACGTCCTCCTCCTCTCTCATCTCTCTCCAGTGGCTTTCTGTACTTTCTCTTCACCTTGTTTATAAATTTCTGTATCTTACCTACTTTAAACTTAGTAAATCAAATAAACCTTTCCTTGACTCTGCTTGAGCTACTCTTACCAGTTAATGTGGAAACCTGGAAAAACGAAAATAGCTACTGTTTAATGCTGTAGACATCTGGCATGGCTGGCCTTTGTCTTAAAAGCTTTATCCCTTGGTTTTTATGTCACTTCTCTCTGAATTCCCTCCATGTCCCTTAACATTTCTCCCCCATTTTCTTTGTAGGTTTCGTTTCTTCTTTAGAATGTAGATTTGTATCTTTAGTCCAGTCCTCATTGAACTTTCTGCTGTCATGATATCATGTATAACATATGTTGGAGACATATAAAATCTTTCTCTCTCATATTTGGTAATCCTGTTGTCTACTGGACATTTCCACTGTATGTTCCACCCATAGGTACTTCTAACAATGTATTTAAAACTCACGAGTATTGCTCTTTGGACATGTTTCTCCTTCATTCTCTGTTTCTATTCACTCTATCATTCAAGCTAAAAATACAGACATCACTCTTGACTGTCCCTCTGTCCTCTTCTCTCACATGCAGTGAATCACCAAACAGCATTTAAAAACTCTTCTTCCCCATTGTGATGCTTGTTTGATATGTTAAAGCCTCTACAAAATGTCTGTTTCTGATCTCTTGTTAATGAGACTGCATTTCCCACCGCCCCCAGTGTATCTGAAGAAGATGGTATACTTCACTCATTAATAACACATTATAATTATTTGCTTACTTATTTTTATCCCTGGAAAAGTATATCATTCTATAGTCAACTCTTGAACTACACAGGTTGAACTGCATGGGTCCACTTACATGTGGATTTTTTTCAGTAATAAATATAGTACTATACCGAACTGCAGGTGGTTGAATCCAAGGATGTGAAACTCATGGATATGGAGAAATATCCATACTCATGGATATGGAGGGCCAACTAAAAGTTAGACCCAGATTTGTTACCTCAAAGAGGGTCCGCACCCCAAACCCTGCGTTGTTCAAGGGTCAACTGTAATTTTCTTGCTTGCACTACTTCATCAGTGTGCATTTCTGGATAATTGAATAGCGGTAAACAAAATGGGCTAACTGCAGGGTAATGATACCTTATACTTGGCAATATAACCGAATTCCTGCTTACCTTAACAATAGGTTTCCATTAACACTATTAGGAATTTTTTTACGGACTAAGTTCATAGGATATCTTCTCTTTGATTCAGGCAGTTCTCATGAAAGTAGCTCATGGGAAAAGAATCTTCCTTGTTCCCCTCAGGCATACTTATCTTTCTGCTGCTTTCTGAACCATCCACGAAATGACTCTGTGCCTTTAGTTACGCCAGTTTCTTCTGCTTGTTGTGCCCTTCATCTCCTCTGACAAGCAACTCTTAGATATATTCCTTGAAATCTAGCGGAAGTTACTGTTTTGCATGTAATTAATTTTACTATGTGGCCTAGGTGCTAGTTTTCTTGTCTGTAAAATGGAGATAATAGTACCTACCTTAGGGTCACAGTCAGAATCAACTGCTTCGATACCTAGAAGTACTCAGCTCTTGGCACTGATGAGTATTCAATGAATGGTAGCTGTTGCTGCTGTTAGTGTTCATTGTTTACGTGTCAGACTCTTTTAGACTTGAATTCTTAGAAGAGCAAAGTTTTTTTTTTTTTTAATGGGCTAAAATAGGTGGCGTATTTAAGAATTTTCCCCTTAAATAAACAGTTCATTACTCAGTCTTCATCATTGATTTAATGCTTCTTGTTAGTGTTTTTAAAATACAGTTAAATACTTACATTAATCTTTTAAAAATATTTCAGAATGAAGATTTGTTAAATGAAATAAAACAACTTAAGGAGGAAATAAAGAAGAAAGATGAAAAAATCCAACTATTAGAACATCAGCTTGTAAGTAGTATGTAAAGTGGAGGCTTTTCAAACTGGGCAAAGTATGTATATTTTTAATAAAACTTGAGCCAGAATTGAAATTTTATTTTATTTTTGGCTTTTAAAATTGCACTGTTCTATTATTTTTAGATTATATGCACTCTGAAAGTATGTGGTTCAGTTTTCAGTCTAAATAATAAGTTTTGAAAATAAAAAACTCAAATAGTCCATTTTCAGTTGCCTCGGTTTTGGGGATTTGAAATTTACCAATTTACATTCATGTTATTGATGAATGAAACTGGGTATTCAGTCTTAGGAATCTGTGTGGCTGTCTGATAGAGTGAAGGTTATTCTAAAAAAAGTTTCTTTTTTTCCATGGACGATGTTGAGTAGGATCTCACAGAGCCATGTTTGAATCTTTATAATTTTACAGCTGTTACAACATCACATGTTAGTTTCATATGAAAACTATGTGTGCTGTCTCTTGAACTTAGTTATAATTTAGTTTGTAAGTTAAAAGGCCAGGATAGCAAGACCATAATGGCATAACAATCACAACAGGCCAAAGAAAATTTTTGTTGGAAGTCAAAAGCATGTTTAGGCATAGCAAAGCAATTCAGCAATGTAAAAGAGTAATCTCACTCAGAATAGAAAGGATATATATATTGAACTCTGAGCCACTGGGTCAGATCAGAGATCCAGCTTACAAATAAATAGTAAGGACAGGTGGATCAGGTGTTATGATTAAGGGTATCAGAAACCTTAAGAATCTGAAAAAAAGAATATTGCAATTTGAGGGCCTACCAAAAATAAAATTAAAAAAGAAAAGATTAAGACCTAATGTTTGTATTTCAAAGCTAAAGATAAAACCCAACCAACCTAGTAGCCAATTTTGGGGGAGAAGAAAAGTCACCTTTAGGAAATTAAGCTTCCTATTTTGCAAAAATGTATTACAGAGCACAAGAAAGTTGTTGTGTCTAGTACACTTCAGAAAAAAAGGTTATGATCCTCATTTTTAGAGCTAAACACATTTTTATTTGTAAATAAAGGTACATTCTAGACCTTTAATGTATTGAAAAATATGCCACCCAGTTATCTTTGTAAAATTATTTAATAATGCACTCCAAATACTTGAGAGAGAAATTTTAAAATAACTCAAGAATAAGGAAGTAATGGTTAAAACAGAATGAATCGTGAAATGAAAACCATTGTGAGAGAGACTAGGTAGGCTAAACTTCCCAGCTACTAACGGGAGAAACTTGATGCTCATTATTTAATCTTATGTAATTATATATCATTTGAATTAAAAATGATTCAATTAAATTAAAAATGATTTTAATTTAAAAATTTAAAATTGCTATTTTAAAAAATATTTGGATTAAATAAAACAGATTTGAGGAAAGAGATAAGGAGTATGCTAAAGAAGTCAAGTGCTGAATCATTTATCTGCAAATGGGTATCTAAAATTTTTCTTTTTTATATGCCTAGGTAAATTTAAATGTTTGTGAAATGCTTTATGAGCTTAGAATAACATATCTTGTGAAAGATAAAGTAAAAAAAAAAGAAGGTATGTAAAGTAGAAAAATACCAAGGATATCTAAAAACAGCAGAACTAAAGTGACAGGAATTAGATCAAAGGTAATAAATATAATAGTAAGTACAAATGGCCTTATCTCATGGAGAGAACTTTAGTGAGAATTTAAAGCAAAATCCATTAATTTCTTTGTATAAAGGAAATTTAGGTCAAGTAAAACAGCACAGTAATGCTAAATATAAAAGGTTGAGTGAGGCAGAATAAAGTTATTCTCACCTGAAAAACTGGAGTTGCAATATTAAAATTAGAAAAATAAATCTAATACTAAAAGAATTATGAAGAGATCATTTTATATTGATATATAATTAATAAATAAAGATAACAGCTTTTTATGGTGAGAAGTTTTACTAGTGTTCTTTTAACTTCAGTATGCTTCTTTAGAAAATAAGAAATGTTCTCTTCCTAGCTGAAATAATTATTACCTTTAACCAATTAATAGTAATTTTTAAATATCTTCTAATATCTAGTCCATATTTAGATTTCCAGTTCCTGAACTATCCTGTACATTTGTACATTACATCTAGTTATTATCTCTTAAGTCTCTTTTACTTTAGAATCATTTTTTTTTTCATTATACTGACTTATTGAAGAGGCTGGGCTACTTGTCCCGATTAGTATGTCACCTTACAGGTATCTTTTAGAAGGCTTCAGAAATAACTAAGACAATCCTAAAGAAAGAAAGGAAAATGAAGAAAGGTGAAAACATTACTCTTTAGCATTATGTACTTTGAAGTTCTCTGTACTGGATATATTAAATTGTGAAATCATACTTATTTCAGAAAGGCCCATCACCTATCTTTAGTATAGTTGTGGAACTCTAAAAAGTCTCTTATTCAGCTCAAGAGAATGTAAAAAGATATAAAAGGTAACAGCAGTTCTCAGATTGCCAGAATTAAAATTGCCTCTTTACATTTTTTTTTTCTTTCCTTACATCCCTAAACTGCTTTTCTTGTAACAGCAAAATGTCATTAGAGGAGCCATAGACTAGGAGTTAGAGGACTTACCTTGTCCTCAGTGTTAATTAGCTGAATGACATTGGCTGTTGCCATCACTCTGGTGCTTTCTTTATCAAAAACATGAAAAATTTTCTAGGTGATTTCAAAGTCCCTTTCTGTCTCTAGCTTTCTGTTCTTTTTATCTTTTATATGTACTCAACTCTAACCTATGTTTGCATGCAAACTGTAAGAAAAATAAAGTGACAATAGACTGTGTTAAGTTCATATTTTATGTGAAATGTGCAGATACAAAATTAGATTTCAGTACTCCAAGAATTTAGCTGAAAGATATAGAGGCATGACTATTTAAACCTTATTCCAAAATGCTAAGAATGCCCGTTTATTTTCACCTTAGTATACTAGTTAAATAATACTAGTCTGCCTTTCTAAAAGTTACCTGTAAGATGAGATACTAATTATACTAGTTAAGTTATATACATTTGCTCATTGAATCCTCTTAATAATCTTACAAAATTACTAGTGTACAGTTTTCTTTATGGGGGTATAGAAGGTGGAATTCAGCTTAAGTAGACTAGTAATGTAATATATTTGAGAAGCCATGAGCAACTTGAAGCTGCATGGACCTGGGTTCAGATCCTGGCTCTGAACCTTAGTAGCCATATTCTCTTAGGGAAGTTACCTAATTTCTCTTTAACCTCTTCTATATGTGGGGCTAATAAAAATAATACTGACTAGAAAGGTTTGTGATAGCTAAATGAACTATGTATGTAAACTCCCTAATGCTACACTTGGCCCATGGGTGCATGAGACATAATAATTGTTATTTGACGATTTGCTTCAAATTACCCAGCTAGTAAATCAGTACACACCTAATGATGTCTTAAGTTTCAAGTAAAATCCCTAACTGAAAGTGACTTAAAAATAAGAACATTTATAAACCCAAATAACGAAGTGTATTGGTCCTATCCATTTCCATGATTTCTTAATTGGGCATTTGGGTAACAGTAAAGTTCTAGGGTAGCTTTTCTGGAATCCTCTTGGCTGTCCCTTCGTGGACACAAGATGTCTGCTATAGCTCTGTGTGTCACATACTTGCACAGTAGTCCCCAAAGATGGGAAAAGGGCCTGTTTTCTGTAGCATACTTTTTTTAAAAAATTAAGAATACTTCCTTAGAAATAACCCAGACGTGTCTTATGTTTTATTGGCTAGATTTGGGTTCTTTGTTCCTTAACTATTGAGGAATGGGATTAATCAGGTTGGTTCAGACTAATCAAAATCTGTCATTGGGTCAAGAGATAGGAAACACACTTCCCTGAATATGGGACCACAGAGAAGGTGAGCATCTGAACAGAATCTGTCAGCAATAAAGAATGCACATGGAGAGTGAATGATTTGGGTAGTTGTTTTCTATCTATTGAAATGTCACTAAAAACCAGATTTTCTGAATTATGGAAAATTCAAATATTTGCTGATTATTTTCTTCAAATGTTAGCACATAGCCATAGAAAGGAAATTATTTCTGGAATTGGTAGCAGTCAGGATAGAATAATTAATGTGCTTACATTAAGATAAATGTTCTATATTATCTTTTTTGTTTACATACCTCCCATATATGTTAAAAGTTAAGTCCTATTATATTGAATTCCAAGAGACTAAGTCGATCTGCTTATATGTTGAATTTTGTTTCAATGACTGTCCCATTTTTTGGAATGGGAAGTATGTGTGTACTCCAAGGAATGGAAACGTGTGTACAATAGATTTTTGGTTTTGATTAGATTTTATTTCGATTATGGAAATTGGGATGATTTGATTGCAATTAGGAAAAAAATTTGAATATTGGTAAGTATTGTAAAAATAGAAACTTACAATTTTAACTTGATGCAATAGTCAAGAATTTGCTATGTAGGTTTTCCTACAAGAAAGTATATTTACCTACAGTGGGGTTATTTGACAAATAACATGGTTAAATTCCAGCTTCAGACTAAGGAGGAATTCTCATTATCTAGCTTTTCATTTTTTTAAAAAAATTGGTATTTATTTGAGAGATCATAATTTACACAATAGGTACATTACTTTGTGTTGTGTAAATGACTAAGTGAGTGTGCTCTGAGTGAAGTCATGTGAAGAGGATTCATTTATGAACTGAGATGGTCAGACAGACCTTGTCCAAGGGCAGAGATCCTTCAGAATATTCCAGTTCAGTAGAGTCCACACATCATGAAAGGGGCTTTTAAAAGCATTTCATGGATGAAGAGGCAGCCTTACTTGTGCGCTGGTGATATTTAATATCTAATAGAGTCCATCAAAAATAAATTTAAGAAACTGTGCTGCAGTGACTGTAGTAACATAATAGTTTAGGGAAATATTTGAGGTTTTGCAATTATATTATTTACTATATATTGCTGTATATATTCTACATCTATACACACGTATCTTTAGATATATATACACACACATACATCTATATCTGTATCTATATCTTTATCTATATCTATCATGGATAGTGTATTTTATGGGCAGTATAAGAGATCGCCAAGGGTAATTTTGACCATTTAAAATTTTAGCCTTACAGGGTGACTCTAAAACCTAATCTGTGAATGAGATGGAGCCTACTTAATAGACACAGATGTTTGCTTTTTTTTTTTCAGCTCTCTAAGACCCTGATTACTTTGTTTGTATGTATATGTGTATATGGAGGATTACACCAGTGTTGAAATTTGTGTTTTTGTGCAGGCAACTCGGTGTAACTGCCACCAAAAATCTAAAGAAGAAAAATGCACATATGCTGATAAATATACCCAAACACCCTGGAGAAGAATTCCTGTAAGTAACACACGTTCTTACCCTCTTTTCTTGTCACTTACTATTTTGATGTTTTTGTTCTACTCTTTTTTACTCTAGTAATTTTGAATCTGCCATGGCTGTTAATTTTTTTTTTTAGATAATTTGTTTTTTCTTGTCTCTTAGGTGTTTGTGTACTTTCTAAAGCTTCTCTTCTGTGTCATATAAATGAATGTGCATTTAATAGCTTTTCCATTCTGCATACTGTAGGTCCTTTTATTTGAGTGTCTAGTCTCCCTCTCATTGCATGTATTTTTGAGAGTAGTATTTCCCCATGCCCTAAAAGAAAAGGAAGTTCAGAACGCAGTCTTCCCTCTTTAGCAACATATGGCTCTGAAAATATATGATGTAGCATATTCTTTTTACTTGTTGAGACTCTTCAAATATATTATTGTAGTTATTCAAATAAATGCTGAGATACAGACTGTAAAGGTTATATTTTAGGTGTAGTTAGGATAAGGAACAGTGTCTCCTGAACAATAGAAAATAATCGTGCATTCTGTGCTTCTTTGTTGTTTTTCAAAACTACTACATCTCAAAACATATTTAGTGCTAAAAATACACTTTCTGAACTCAGTTCAGGATGTACCTGAGCCAGAGAATCACCATGGCCTTCAGTCATCATTATCCTATGGTGCCAAGTAATAGCTATTTCTTGGTAAGAGAATGCCTCATAAGCCAGCCTTGACTTTTCTTTTGCTTTATTTTAAGCAGTGGAATCTTAGTAATACAAATGAACAGGAAATTATAATGGTTAATGCAATCAACAATCCGATTTTTAAAACTTAGCAATGGGTCTTTAAAGTTTATAAAATACTTCTTTTAAAGTAATAAGTAGTTATTTTTTGTGTGCTCTGTATAAAGTATGATGCCAATAATTAACTTATTCAACAAAAGTTTAGTGACCCTCTCCCCTCTCATCAGTTATTAGACTCTTGAAGTAGAAGTGAGAAATTGAGAAAGAAAATACATGGACGAGTAAGGATTCCTCCATTAGCAAGTGCTTATTAAAGAAGCTGGTGATGTGATATAAAGTGCAGAAAGTTCTGTAAGTCTGAAAGGTTTGGGAAAGCCTGGGTGAAAGAATCGAGCTTGGTGATGAAGGTGAAGGTAGTAGTTGAATCACAGAAAACAAAAAACGTCCATAGACAGAGATGAGTTCCAGTTCTCTTCATCAGCATTCTTTCCATAGAATTTTCTGTGCTATCCAGTGCAGTAGCCACTAACTACACCTGACTATTGAATACTTGAAAATGGGTTAGTGTGACCGCAGAAGAGAGTTTTAAATAATATTAATTGTAATGAATTTAAATGTAAATAGCTACATATGACTAGTGTATACCGTATTAGACAAAGCATCTCTAGAGTTAATGATGAAGTCGGCTTAGATGGATACAGGAAAGCTGCCTGGAGGAGTAAGTAAAGGGGAAGTCAGTGAAGGCAAGTTTTGGAAGAAATGAAGGAAAATAAAAAAGATGGAGTTGATATTTAGGTAGTGGAATGAGTTGTAGGAAAAGATGGTCCTTCAGAGGAGAGTGAATAAGTCTGCCTCTGACCAAATATTCTCATCTGAGGGACAGAACAGCCAGATAAAATGGTGCATTTCACCATAATGTGAAAAGAATAACAGCATGGAAGGTGCCTAGTCATTAACACAAAAATAGTTGAAGAGCCCGGGAATATGTAGGAAGATGGTGACCATGTGAGAGATAAGGATTCACTTCAAACATATAAACTTATAAAACTTTATTTTAAAGATAATGTGGCATTATTGACCCAAGCATGTTCTTATAAGTAGCAATATTTTGGATTGAATTTTAAATATTGTTTTAAAAGCATTTAACATCAGTATTTGAAGATTTGAATAATTATCTTGCACATTAAGTAAATTCTAAATTTTCATGATGTATACTTTTACAGAGCATTTGTTTGAACTTAAATTAACTAGAGAAGCCAAAATACCAGAAAACATTTCTAGACTCACACCATCAAAACTTATTTATGCCCTTGAATCTCAAAGGAGAGATTGCAAGATGGACCCAAAGTGTTCACATAATGACACAAGCCAGCCTTAACCCC